TTATATTTGTTGCCAACGTTGATAATAATCAACATAGGATTTTATTAACTACAACATACTGCCATAGTGATTTGTTGGAACATTAAAATCCAAAAGCTAATTCCAATTTGTCATGACATGACTATGCCTAGAATCACTTAACTGCAATTACTTATGACGCGGAATTTCTGCTCGGAATGGCAGAGTCAAAACAAGATAATTTGGCCAAGAAGTTTAACGTTAGCTTCAGGGAATAGCCATGATCTGATATCATTCCATAACCATCAATTTGCCAATTCCCACAACTGATTTACCGCCTGAACTAGAAGTAAAGGAGACCAGTGAGATCGCCTCACCTGTTTATATATGTGCGTAAAGATTCAGAGTGACAAAACACTCTCCACAAGACTGTAGGACAAGAGGGATGACTTCAAGTTTCCACTGTCAACTTTCCATTTATATCGAGCAATATTTCTGTAGCTCCAGCCTTCGGTGCTTATATTTCACAACTTTTGAGCTACAATTGAGCATGCTCTTTCAACCAAGATTGCAAAGAGCGTCATAAGAGTCATGGTAAGAAGTTTGATCAAGGTAACAACATTCAAGGCCTCAGTAAAGCTTTCAAAATGTTTTATGGTAGACATGTTGAGGACATTTCCAAATTTGCATTACTGACAAAAATGATTTCCGATGCAGTTCCACCATATGTCCCCGTGTTGTTTCAGGTGAACAAATGACTTGCCTTTGTATGTGTTTGTGACGGGTGCCACCGGTAGGGCAGGACTCGAGCATTAAAGGTAAGCCGAAACGATCTGAGAATATTAAATGTCAATTATATTTTGATTATATTGATACAAATCATGTCTGTCTCTCCCTGTATTTCCGTTACTTAAAAGGTAAATTCACTTAGCTTTTAGTTACATTTCAGGCAGTAACTAAATAACCACTTGTACCTTATTGTATATTAAACATGTTTGCAAACGCTGCATCTTATCATGGTGGTCGCATTACTAATGTTTACTTATGATTCGTAGTACCATATTAAAGATTGAGGAATGTTAAAAAAGCACACCTTTTAGCCTTGGCCGCTCGCTAGGCATGAAAGACAACCAAAGCGGAGGTTGTCTACTCCGAGGTCCGCGCCTTCTCCGCCCCTCCCGTAAAAAAAGCTTAATGCTATATCTCCTCTGGTTTCAATCATTCCAATTTTTATTTGTTTAGGTGTCAGGCTCTGTTCATACAAAGACTTTTATAATTACCAATAGTTTACAGCAATAAATGGTCAAATATGTAAATACTATACATTTAAGCGGTTATTGTCCATTCAAAACACTAGAGATCTGAAGAACCTACCGAGATTTATTCATATAATATTTAAAGCTGGACGAAAACATACAACAGAAAGGATGTAATGCTTTAATACATGACATGCTGTCATCTTGTAATATATTTACAATGTATGTATATATCCTTCCTGTACTCCTTTGTAACCCCGCTTTTGATTTGAAGAGGAAACAACTGTTCTGTTCTATTCACATTATCCGTCTCAGGTCAATATGGTCAACACCCCAAGCAATTGGTTTGAAGATAGCACGTCTTACCGAGAACAGTACACTGACCTCTACCGTATACGATTATCAATATTTCTAATGTAAAGTTTACACGATACACGTTTTTATCATTGGATGGGAGGTTGGTCACGTGGCCGCGAAACGACGTTCATAAGTGTATGAACGGCACCCTTTGACGTTCATACGTTTTTCACTATACTGTATTCTTGAAATGGCGTAAAAACGGACGGACTACTTCCACATTGTTGGGGAAACCCCTGGGAATAACCTGCACAAATAGATTCCTAAGCGTTGTTTCTGATAATTTAGACGCTTTAATCTTGAACTAAGCGTTTATCATACATTGGGATAAGACAGACCAAATGCCCGTTCAAGAATATCCTCGCTACGACCCATCCCAGTGAACAAACCAAAGAAATGCACATGCAATCTATGGACTCGATCCGTGTCTAGATTGACAAGTGACAGTCCACAGCAATCTATATAAACTGACGGCCAAAAGAAACGTTACCAACGATATTTCTAGGATAAAATATGACCAACACAATTTGAAGCAGCAATAACAATTGTATTGTAGAAATTCATCATTCAGAACAGTAAAATGCGAATTTACTCATTCAACAACAAAGTCCTTGACCTCCAACAGGGACATTTCTTGACAAGGGGTCATTCGTCCAGTATTCGATCAACAAAATTGGTTACAACTTTAAAGTGACGACGGCCCAGACCGTTCAATACGGGATATGACCTCCATGAGCGGCAATGCATCTTCAAATGCGGCATCGAACTGAGTAGACAAGCGTCCTCATATCGACTGCAGGTATCCGATTCCATTCCTCACGGAGGGCAACGATCAAATCTTGTCTCGTGAAGGGAGGATGTTGACGTTTCCGAAGACGACGCCCCAGCTGGTCCCAGAAATGTTCTATGGGTGACAGATCTGGTGATCGAGCTGGCCACGGCAGGACAGTCACGTTGTTGGCGTTTAGGAAGTCTCTAGTAATACGGGCTTTATAGGGTGTGGCGTTATCTTGTTGGAACACCGTCCGTTGTTGACGCTGGATGAAAGGAAGAACCACTGGCCGTAAGATATTGTCAATGTAGCGTTGTGCTGTCAGATTGCCTTCGATGATGACAAGTTCCGTCTTCTCGTCCCCGCAAATGCCGCCCCAGACCATCACACGTCCGCCCCCGTAAGGTTCCACCTAGTGGACACAACAAGGAGCCGTACGTTCACCACGTCGTCGATAAACTCGCTTCCGCCCATCAGGTTTGACGAGTTGAAACCTGCTCTCGTCACTAAACAGCACTCGCCGTTATTCCCTTTGTTGCCATCGCTGAGTTTGCCTGCACGACGTCAATCTGGCACGTCGACGTTGACGGGTCAAGCTCATGCCCTTGAAAGGGCGATGAGCCCGGAGACCATAATGTCGTAGTCGTCTGGTCACTGTTTGTCTGCTGACCGGATGTCCTAAGCTGTTGGCAGCTGATGACGTCACAGTAAGAAATCTGTTCCTCAGATGAAGTACCCGTAAAAAGCGGTCATCCTGCGGGGTCGTGACCTTTGGTCTGCCACTCCGTGGTCTGTCTGCGGTTCTGCCAGTTTGTCGGAGACGTGCGACCAGTCTGGTAATGGTCATCTTGGAGCAGTTCATGTTAATGGCAACCTCTCTCTGTGTCGCTCCCGTCTGCAGCATACCTATGGCTCTCTCCCTCTGTGACAGCGGTCAGTCTTGGCATGTTCGATGGTGTTAATCATCGCAACCAATGATAGGGAACAGATCCGTGCGTAATTAATACCCGGAAATTGCACGATAATTTGGGAAAGAATGTCTTAAAAAATTGCTGACAAACACCAATATCTCCCAAAATCCGTAAAGCACGTGCAAAGAACGACAGAACATGAAGGCTGTATTCGTGAGATGTGTTCTTTACTGTTTTCGAACAGGTTGGCATCTTTGTTTCAAAGTTGCAAATCAGTTAATGTTGGTAACGTTTCTTTTGGCCCTCAGTTTATTTACCTTAGTATTTATTTGACACATCTTTATAATCACATTTCATTGATCGGCCAATTGATCAATGATGATTGACACTTGTAATAGCCATAAGTTCATGAACAACTCCGAAAATCTCTCTCGTCACGTTTATCGTGTCGGCCATTTTGACGTGCCGTATTTGATAAAAATGTATTACGACGCCCTTTCAATGTGACCGACTTACTGAGGTAGTGACTTAATAGACCTTTGTCATCTAATGATGATATTATGTGGATATATTTGTTGTAACCAATCTACGACAAATGTTCCTTTAGAGCAAGTTGAGCATACACACCCTCATTTAACCTTTCTTTTTAATGAACTATTTTATTCCGCGTTGCTGTTGCATTGGTTGTTGTATGGCTGTCAGTGTAAACATGAAGTTACACGTAGCAGGCCCACGTGCAATTGTGTGTATCCCTCGAGTTATAAAATAATGGCGATATAAGAAAATAAAGAATTGACACGCGACTTGCGACGACGTTCATACAATGTTTGGCCCTAACTCTGTGAAGGTTCATACTCTAATGAACTCACACAAAGTGAAAGTTTATTCTTAAATATCTAATGATAACCAACGCCATAAGAGCACCTAACCCAACGTACATCTCACGTTATTAATACTTGTAAATAATAAACGTCGGAACAACTTAATTAATTATTCGCTTTTGGAAAATTAGAGGAACAGTTATCGCTATTTTGTTGATCTAAAATGGAATTTTATTTAAACCTCCAAAGCCTAGGTGGCCATTAGAGAAAAACACTTTTGAAGACATGTGTATTTCGTAAGTATTAGTGAAGGGAATTGGCCTGAAGTTTGTATTGCAATACTCGTATATTGCAATAATGCTTCCTGTATTGCAATACGTACCACAATATAACGTTCTTTCATCTGTAGTTAGTTATGAACCTACACTTTCCCCGCATGTTTTTGACAACTTCATATTATGTGGGATGTTGCTATGGTCACAAAGCATTATATACAGGAAGCTGTCACAAATAGTTTCACTTTGTCGCCACAGGAAAAAAGTTGCTTATTTCTTAATTTCCATTTGATTTGTCACTAGTGTAAAATATTCCACAAAGATGATATACATGATTATGAAAAACACAGTATACGGTATTTTCCAAACGTATTGTGGTGCGTATTCACTGGTATTTCATATCGTGGTTTACCGGTATATCGATAACATCGCGCATCTCTAGTAAGTATACATCTTTTGTTTTACATGAGAATAATGTAGAAAGTTCAGTTTCAGACAACTAAGTAGAGAATATGTTGTTTTCTGTATCAAATGACGTACGTATCCTCATCATTATCTTGACCAATTCATATTCCCAGGAGTGGCGTTTTTATGATATTTGCCAAGGAAAGACAAATGATCGCTATTTATAATAATATTTATTTTATTTGTCATTGAGGCATACTGAAGTGCTACAAAGAGGAGAATTTCATTCGTCACTCGTGAAAATATCTCCTTTTCCACGTTGCGAGATGAGAGTTACATCACATTGCACCAGCCTCATACACTATCCTATTTATTACATACTGTATTTATTGTTAACAATTAATACGCAAAACCCTTTAAAAATAAATACTAAACTCCATAAAATACGTTTTATTTTCGAACTGCTGATATCTACAGATGAAATAATCAATCCTGATTTTCTGTTTGAGGTATTGGTTGTAAACTATTTTCACTGTCAGCATGGAAATGATAGAGTTCGGAAGCCCGGCTTCTGCCTATGCGACAGGCGCACAGGCGGGTAACGTCGTCACCGGTAGTTCCATGCAAAGTATATTTGTCCCCCGTTACGAAGTGGGATATAAGAATGGGTTTTGTCCGTCCGTGTGTCCGTATGTCCGTGCGTCCGTCACGTTTCGTTTCCGGAGCATAACTTGGAAACCGTTAAATATTTTATAAAGAAACTTGCACACACAAGCCTAACTGGTGCCTTTTGGTGTTTTCAATTTCTCTCTCTCTCTCTCTCTCTCTCTCTCTCTCTCTCTCTCTGACTGTCCCCTCTCTCCCTGCCTCTCTTCTATCTCCCTGCATCTCTTCTGTCTCCCTGCCTCTCTTCTCTCTCGGCCTCTCTTCTACCTCTGCCTCTCTTCTCTCTCTGCCTCTCTTCTCTCTCTGCCTCTCTTCTCTCTCTGCCTCTCTTCTGTCTCCCAGCCTCTCTTCTGTCTCCCAGCCTCTCTTCTGTCTCCCTGCCTCTCTTCTGTCTCCCAGCCTCTCTTCTGTCTCTCTGCCTCTCTTCTGTCTCTGCCTCTCTTCTGTCTCCCTGCCGCACTTCGCTCTCGGCCTCTCTTCTGTCTCCCTGCCTCTCTTCTGTCTCCCAGCCTCTCTTCTGTCTCTCTGCCTCTCTTCTGTCTCTCTGCCTCTCTTCTGTCTCTCTGCATCTCTTCTGTCTCTGCCTCTCTTCTGTCTCCCTGCCGCACTTCGCTCTCGGCCTCTCTTCTGTCTCCCTGCCTCTCTTCTGTCTCCCTGCCTCTCTTCTGTCTCCCTGCCGCACTTCTCTCTCTGCCTCTCTTCTCTCTCTGCCTCTCTTCTGTCTCCCTGCCTCTCTTCTGTCTCCCAGCCTCTCTTCTGTCTCCCTGCCGCACTTCGCTCTCGGCCTCTCTTCTGTCTCCCTGCCTCTCTTCTGTCTCCCTGCCGCACTTCGCTCTCGGCCTCTCTTCTGTCTCCCTGCCTCTCTTCTGTCTCCCTGCCGCACTTCGCTCTCGGCCTCTCTTCTGTCTCCCTGCATCTCTTCTGTCTCTGCCTCTCTTCTGTCTCCCAGCCTCTCTTCTGTCTCCCTGCCTCTCTTCTGTCTCCCAGCCTCTCTTCTGTCTCCCTGCCTCTCTTCTGTCTCCCAGCCTCTCTTCTGTCTCCCTGCCTCTCTTCTCTCTCTGCCTCTCTTCTGTCTCTCTGCCTCTCTTCTGTCTCCCTGCCTCTCTTATGTCTCCCTGCCTCTCTTCTCTCTCTGCCTCTCTTCTGTCTCCCAGCCTCTCTTCTGTCTCCCTGCCTCTCTTCTGTCTCCCAGCCTCTCTTCTGTCTCCCTGCCTCTCTTCTCTCTCTGCCTCTCTTATGTCTCCCTGCCTCTCTTCTGTCTCTGCCTCTCTTCTGTCTCCCTGCCTCTCTTCTGTCTCCCTGCCTCTCTTCTGTCTCCCAGCCTCTCGTCTGTCTCCCTGCCTCTCTTCTCTCTCTGCCTCTCTTCTGTCTCCCTGCCTCTCTTCTGTCTCTGCCTCTCTTCTGTCTCCCTGCCTCTCTTCTGTGTCCCTGCCTCTCTTCTGTCTCCCAGCCTCTCTTCTGTCTCTCTGCCTCTCTTCTGTCTCCCTGCCTCTCTTCTGTCTCCCTGCCTCTCTTCTGTCTCTGCCTCTCTTCTGTCTCCCAGCCTCTCTTCTCTCTCCCTGCCTCTCTTCTGTCTCCCAGCCTCTCTTCTGTCTCCCTGCCTCTCTTCTGTCTCTGCCTCTCTTCTGTCTCCCTGCCTCTCTTCTGTCTCCCTGCCTCTCTTCTGTCTCTGCCTCTCTTCTGTCTCCCTGCCTCTCTTCTCTCTCTGCCTCTCTTCTGTCTCCCAGCCTCTCTTCTGTCTCTCTGCCTCTCTTCTGTCTCCCTGCCTCTCTTCTGTCTCCCTGCCTCTCTTCTCTCTCTGCCTCTCTTCTGTCTCCCAGCCTCTCTTCTGTCTCCCTGCCTCTCTTCTGTCTCCCTGCCTCTCTTCTGTCTCTGCCTCTCTTCTGTCTCCGTGCCTCTCTTCTCTCTCTGCCTCTCTTCTGTCTCCCTGCATCTCTTCTGTCTCCCAGCCTCTCTTCTCTCTCTGCCTCTCTTCTGTCTCCCTGCCTCTCTTCTGTCTCCCTGCCTCTCTTCTGTCTCCCTGCCTCTCTTCTGTCTCCCTGCCTCTCTTCTGTCTCCCAGCCTCTCTTCTGTCTCCCTGCCTCTCTTCTGTCTCTCTGCCTCTCTTCTGTCTCCCTGCCTCTCTTCTGTCTCCCAGCCTCTCTTCTGTCTCCCAGCCTCTCTTCTGTCTCCCTGCCTCTCTTTTGTCTCCCAGCCTCTGTTCTGTCTCCCTGCCGCACTTCGCTCTCGGCCTCTCTTCTGTCTCCCTGCCTCTCTTCTGTCTCTGCCTCTCTTCTATCTCTCTGCCTCTCTCCTGTCTCCCAGCCTCTCTTCTGTCTCCCTGACGCACTTCGCTCTCGGCCTCTCTTCTGTCTCCCTGCATCTCTTCTGTCTCTGCCTCTCTTCTATCTCTCGGCTTCTCTTCTGTCACTCTGCTTCTCTTCTCTCTTTGCCTCTCTTCTCTCTTTTTGCCTCTCTTCTATCTCTCTGCCTCTCTTCTGTCTCCCCGCCTCTCTTCTGTCTCAGCGCCTCTCTTCTCTCTCAGCCCCTCTTCGTCTCCCTGCCTCTCTTCTCTCTGCCTCCCTTCTCTATCTCTCCCTCTCTGTCTCTCCCTCTCTCTCTCTCACTCTCTCTCTCTCTCTCTCTCTCTCTCTCTCTCTCTCTCTCTCTCTCTCCTTCACTACATTACGTCTCCCAAACATACTTTCACAAACCTAACATAATTAGGTTGGTACGTCTGTGAGACAGCATAAAGCAAAACCTGAAGTTTGTGTGATAGATATATTTACGCGGTGGAAGACTTGCCAGAGATAAAATCTAAAAACGTCAACGCTAGAGTCTAATCATTCTCGAATATATATGCCTAATGCAGCCTCCAGTTTCATTGCACTCCATGTTTAGGAAACTTAGGATGTCCTTTAAAGAACTGTCTTTTAGTATCGGTCCATCGGGAAAATCTACGTGGATTTCTATTCTTGTTTAATAACTGGCAGTGGGTGCAACAATATATCGTATTTCTTCTGCGTCAATTCGAACATTATCCTCAACTGTTTGCCCTGAGGCTGAGTTTAGTCCTATGACGGGAATTATTTCCAATTATCTTTTTTCAGTTAACAATAGTTTATGATGATGAAATGTTAACATTCAAATATGCCCGAAGTTTGTTTCGGAGATGGATGAGGTTTATTTTTCCTGAAGGTACCTAAATGGCTCCGAAAGTATAATGCTTGAAAATCAATACAAACGCCATGTAGTTTTCAAAGATAAAAAAGGCTTTATTTTTCTTTAATATAAGCGCTTCAGAGTAGAATAACTCCGAAATGGACAAAGAGAAGAAACACATTCTGTCCTTCACCAACAAATTCTGCCCACCAGCAGTTCTTGGAAGTAAAGCTGCGCCGCACACACGCACGCACGCACGCGAGCACGCACGCACGCACGCACACACAACTAACACCTCACGCCATGAGCGTCGACACATTCTGAGCCTGTCATGTGCGTGCAACCTCAGTGATCAAGACGGTACCGTTATCTTACTGAAGTCAGAATTAACAAATCTTCGGATTAACGAGAGAAAGCGTCCAAAAGACTCTTGCTCACACGTTATTTGGTACATTCAATGCCCCAGAAACGCTTTCAATTTTTTTATGGTAGACATGTGGATTATATTTTCAAACGAGACACATCAGTGTAAAAATTATATCCAATGCAATTCCCTAATTTGACTTGTGCCATATGGTCCCGTATTGTTTCAGGTGGACAATTGACTTGCCTTTGCATGTGTTGCGGGTGCCAGAGGAGGGTGACCTTTTCGCGAACAACTGGTATGATCACTATTTGATAATGATTCATAAACACATGTTCATTATACAGCAGAAATCTCGAGTCCAGTTTGCGTTTAGTAGAGTTTTGTTATTATTGTGCTTTTTATTTTCTCCAAAGTAACGACTCAGTGTACATGCATGTCTCAACGAAGATTTGCCAATGAAAATGACATATATGATTCATACACAATTCCAGTTATACCACAGTAAATAATCGCATCTTGACAAGGAAGGACAAATCAGTGTACGTTGCTTATATGGTCAACGCCGTCGAGTTACAATGGCACAAACTATTGGTGTACCGTGGACCGATTCTGCCACGAACACCCATAGGCATTCATAAGATGTACAAATCTGTCATATTTACTCAGTCCGCAAAGATTTTCTTTGATACATGTATTTCAACACGACCTGACATTTTGCCGTATTCTGACATCAGCCGACGGTTGCCACCAGACAGGGTGGGGATCTACCACATTAGTTGTTAAGTGGCTAAAATGCCGGAGATCACTTTCGCTGAACTGTGATAAGTTCAACTAGTCTGTCGTACTGAATCAGTGTGCTATTTGAGATGCCACACAGAGTTGGTGATCACCATGTATAACACGCACCTAGCTTAGATCTAGGCTCAAGAACACGGACTGTTTGATACCTCCGTCTGGACTGTTGTTCTGTGTGTGATGTCTTGTATCTAGAACCATGATAAATGCTATAGGGGATCTGAAGACCTGTGTATGTGTTCTGTGTAAAGCCGACTTATATTTTTTACTTAAATCCACCCTACCCTATTAACATAAAAATATGCATTTTTTTCAGCAAGACACCAACATCCTCATGTCCAGTGAATACTCCGATGGATTCCGGGACAGTTTAAGTCTCAAGAACCACATGCTTTCATCCCATTTGCCCGCTGCAGAAATGGTTACATTCCCCAGGCCGGTCGTAAGAGGCGGCTGGTGAGGTTCGGGTTGTTATCTCATCGTACAATTGATCGTGTGTCATCGTGCTCCGAGGTCACAGGACGTAGAACGTTACTCATGTTTTCAGGTGAGGTGAGGTGAAATGGGGTTTAACGTCGCGTCCAAGATTATTGCACTTATATAGCGACGTGCATGTACGTGTGTGTGTTTGTGTGGCTGCTTGTACTAGTCCGGACTGATGCCGATTTATAGTGCTAGTTCACTTAGATACCATGCCGCAGTTTGACATGAATATCCACCTCAGACACAGTATACTGACTCCGAGCCGAACAGTCCTTGTCTTAGCCCCTTAATGCCTAGCGCCAGACAGGGTAACAACAAGTACCATCTTTTAATCTACGCGGCTGGGGATCGAACCCCGGACCTTCCGCTCTCCGGGCGGACGCTCTACCTCTAGACCACGGAGGCGGTTCATGTTTTCAGCAACTAGTTTGCTAGTCCATTTGATTATTTAGAAGCTGTCGTGATAATGCAGACAGCATGGACACAGGAGGGTGTGGAATAAATACAAGAAAATCACCAACATCAGAGATCAAGGCACTGTTTTTCAACCCAGTGCAATCTGAGCAGGTCGTGACCTACCCGAATGAGTGAGTGAGCAGTTTAGCAATATTTTAGCAAGATTTGAGCAATATCACCACGGGGGACACCAGAAATGGGCGAACGCTTGAACCACTTGGCTACCCGACCGCCCCAGACCTACCCGCAGGCGAAAGATTATAATAATACTCAAATAATGTTAGCTTTCTGAATTTCACCACATTGTTATCACACCGACGGGGTTAGAGTCTGCGGGACATAACTAATGCGGTTCACGCATATGTACACATGAAATCGAGCCCTAATATTTGGTTTGAAGATCGAAAGCTTCAGTCACTAGGGAGACCTACTGCCACTCATCGTTTAAAAAGTATGGCCAAAACGTCTCATATTTGTCCGTTGATTGTCACTGATACCTGGTGATCATATCCTAGGAGCGTCCGCTGACTGTCACTAATACCTGGTGATCATATCCTTGGAGTGTCCGCCGATTGTCACTGATACATGATGATCACACCCTAGGAGGGTCCGCTGATTGTCACTAATACCTGATGATCACATCATAGGAGCGTCCGCTCATTGTCAATGATACCTTATGATCACATCCTAGGAGTGTCTGCCGATTGTCACTGATATCTGGTGATCATACCCTAGGAGTGTCTGCCGATTGTCACTGATACCTGGTGATGACATCCTAGGAGCGTCCGCCGATTGTCACTGATACCCGATGATCACATCCTAGGAGCGTCCGCTCATTGTCAATGATACCTGATGATCAAATCCTAGGAGTGTCCGCCGATTGTCACTGATACCTGGTGATCACATCCTAGGAGTGTCCGCCGATTGTCACTGATACCTGATGATCATATCCTAGGAGTGTCCGCTGATTGTCACTGATACCTGGTGATCACATCCTAGGAGCGTCCGCTGATTGTCACTGATACCTAGTGATCACATCCAAGGAGCGTCCGCTGATTGTCATTGATACCTGGTGATCACACCCAATGAGCGTCCGCTGATTGTCACTGATACCTGGTGATCACATCCTAGGAGCGTCCGCTGATTGTCACTGATACCTAGTGATCACATCCTAGGAGCGTCCTCTAATTGTCACTGATACCAAGTGATCACATCCTAGGAGCGTCCGCTGATTGTCACTGATACCAAGTGATCACATCCTAGGTGCGTCCGCTGATTGTCACTGATACCCGATGATCACATCCTAGGAGCGTCCGCTAATTGTCAATGATACCTGATGATCACATCCTAGGAGTGTCTGCCGATTGTCACTGATACCTGGTGATCACATCCTAGGATTGTGCGCCGATTGTCACTGATACCTGATGATCATATCCTAGGAGTGTCCGCTGATTGTCACTGATACCTGGTGATCATATCCTAGGAGTGTCCGCCGATTGTCACTGATACCTGGTGATCACATCCCAGGAGCGTCCGCTGATTGTCAGTGATACCTAGTGATCACATCCTAGGAGCGTCCGCTGATTGTCACTGATACCTGGTGATCACATCCTAGGAGCGTCCTCTAATTGTCACTGATACCTGATGATCACATCCTAGGAGCGTCCGCTGATTGTCACTGATACCTAGTGATCACATCCTAGGAGCGTCCTCTAATTGTCACTGATACCTAGTGATCACATCCTAGGAGCGTCCGCTGATTGTCACTGATACCAAGTGATCACATCCTAGGAGCGTCCGCTGATTGTCACTGATACCTAGTGATCACACCCAAGGAGCGTCCGCTGATTGTCACTGGTATCTATTGATCACATCCTAGGATTGACCGCTGATTGTCACTGGTACCTGGTGATCACATCCTAGGAGCGTCCTCTAATTGTCACTGATACCTGATGATCACATCCTAGGAGCGTCCGCTGCTTCTCATTGATACCTAGTGATCACATCCTAGGAGCGTCCGCTGCTTCTCATTGATACCTAGTGATCACACCCAAGGAGCGTCCGCTGGTTGTCATTGATACCTGATGATCACACCCAAGGATCGTCTGCTTATTGTCATT